ATGTATACATGTATATGTATACATGTATATGTATACATGTATATGTATACATGTATATGTATACATGTATATGTGGATATATACACATAAATATACATAAGTAGATACACACACATAAATACTTTCATAACTACTTACATATATACTTATATGTATGTATGTATATATAAAGATATACATAAGCATGTATACACATATGTATACATTTACATTTACATATACATGAACATTTGCATATGCATATATGCATATACCTGTTATCTAAACATACATATACATATGCCTATTACATATAAATGAGAACTATTATGAAAGAAGAATGCATCAGTGTGTACACATATTGTATTTGTATTCTTATTTTGTATACACATGTATGTGAGTCTGTCTCTTGTCTCTCTGTGTACTTGTGATTGTGATTGTGAGTTTCCTGACACATAAACAGTGACATTAGAGCCTATCATACAAGAATCTCCAAGAATTGTTTCCTAGAGTCATAAACCCAGCATTGATATCTTAAGTAAACATATATGTGCTAAGAAAAGCTTGTAAATTATATGATTTTTTTTCAGAGAATTGAATGGTATTTGGAGTATGAAAAGAGAAATTTGTATGAATTGAATGGAACAGCAGCTCTCTCTCTGAATTAGTGATTCTAATTAAAGTACAGTGGAGTACCAAGTAAATCTATTACATAACTTTTAAGTAGAACATACTGTGTGTGGTTTAGAAATCCAGTGTAAAAAGAATTCATGTCACTTTATTACAATGACAGTACAAGAAAATAGTCTAGTGACAGTAAGTAAGAAAGAAGACAACTCAGAAAGGACTAACCTCTGTACCAAATGCTTTATCACATTACTAAGCTCCACCTCCCCAACAGATGAGGCTGGAGACATCGAGAAGACACTCATGGCAAGGTGTTAGAACAGAGGGCATGCCCCTTTCCAGTGCTACTGCCACCATCACCACCACCTCTGTGGCTGGAACTTCCATCAAGATCCACCAGTGCCCATACTGTGCCTACACAACCTCCATCATCTCCAACCTGAAGAAGCATGCACGCATCCATACTGGAGAGAAACCTTTTGCCTGTCCCCACTGCCCCTTTCGTGCAACCCAAATGGAAAACCTCAGGAAACATGTCCGCACCCACACTGGCGAGAAACCCTACACTTGCCAACAATGCATGTACCGCACCACAAAGAAGAGCTGTTTAATGAGACATATCATGACTGTGCACAACGTTTGAAGGTAATCTGATCTCTGTTGTAGTAAATTCATTGCTTGTCAGAATGATCATAACGTACATTATGCATGGACATTGAAGACTCTTTGGGATATGTGATAATTTGTATTGGACTAATGGAATGTTTATTAAGTCAGACAAGTACATGTACAAGGGCAGTGCTAGTGAAACATTGAAAATGTTTGTTTAAAAAACATAAGTGAAATTATATTAGATATTAATGATAGAACTCAGAATTAATATTTGACATTTTTATGTCAAGGCTAGATCCCAAAGGACTTAATTAGTGCAGTGATGAAAAATACATATGCTTACATCTACTGTCAAATCACATAGGCACATCTGACCCCCCCCCACACACACACACACACACATACACAAATCCACACACACACATGTATGCACATGTATACACACACATTTATGCACATGCACACACACACACACACACACACACACACACACACACACACACACACACACACACACACACACACACACACACACACACATACACACACACATACACACATGCACACACACACACATACACACATGCACACACTCACACACACGCATGCTCACACACATGCTCACGCAGAGATGCTCTCACACACATGCTCACACACATGCTCACACACATGTTCACACACATTCACACACACACACATGCACATGCACATGCACATGCACACATGCACATGCACACACGCACATGCACACACACACATGCACACACACACATGCACACGCACACGCACACGCACACACACACACACACACACACACACACACACACACACACACACACACACACACACACACACACACACACACACACTTATAATGAATAAAAGAAAAATAAATAAATAAATAAATAATAATAATAATGATAATAAAAAGTATAAAAAGACGGAGGCCAAAAGCAAAGGTGTGGATAACTGAAATTATAGAAGGGAGGGGGAGATGAATTTGCTTTAAACCATAATAAAGATCATGGTTAGCAATGGTGAAAAAAAAACTAATGTATACAACCATGTTGATTGCATTATCTGCTCATTTGCAGGAGTCTGTGTATGTGTGTATGTGTGTGTGCGTGCATGTGCGTGTTTGCATATGTATGCGTGCATGTGTGTGTGTTTGTGCATGTGTGTGCACATGCTTGCCTGTGTGCATCCGTGTGTGAATGCATGCGTCTGCCTGCCTGTTTGTGAATGCATGCGTTTGTCTGCATTTGTGTTTGCAACATGTGGAAGCATGTACATGTGTGTTTTGGCCATGAGAAATTACTGACGCTTATTATTTGAAAATCTTCAAAGAAAAATACAGTGATATGCACTTTTTATCATTCTTTCTTTTTATTTCAAATATTTGCCAACATAGATAACTTACAGTTGTTTATTTAACATTGCTTTTCTACAGTTTTTTTCAGGCTCCTGGTTTATCTATAATCAAAAACTCAAGCCAGTGAATTACTGAACACCAGCACAATTTCTTTAAAATGAGGTTGTTAGATGATAACATGTATTTGTCATGATTAACAGAGAATAAAACTATATGTGGTAGCCTTTCCTCTTTAATTTCCCTTCTCTTCCTCTATCCCTTGTTCTTATCCCCTTCCCTTTTCTCTCTCTGACTTTGTTTTTATGTTTCTACCTCTGTCTCTGTCTGTCTCTGACACTGTGTCTTTCTTTCTTTGTCTTTCTCAGCCTCTGTCTTAGTAGTTTTCTGTCCATATCTTTGCCTCTCCCATTGTCTGTCTCTGGCCTTGTCTTTCTCTCTCTGTCTATCTCAGCCTTTACCTCTGTCTTTGCCACTTTCTGCCCATGTCTCTGTCTGCCTTGGTCTGTATCTCTCTCTCTCTCTCTCTCTCTCTCTCTCTCTCTCTCTCTCTCTCTCTCTCTCTCTCTCTCTCTCTCTCTCTCTCTCTCTCTCTCTCTCTCTCTCTCTCAAATATTTCTTTCTTTCCTTTTTTCCATTCTCTTTCCACCTTTCTTTCAAATTCCCCTTTTCCAGTATCTCATGTTGATTATATATTTAACTTCTAGAAGTGTATAGTGAATTGTCTAAATCACTTACTTTGTTCCTGCAGATGTTAGCAAGATGTGAGGACCTAGGATCCAGTGAGGGCATCAGTAGGAAGCATCTGTGGAGGAATGTCAGTAACAGCAATAGTTATCCATCAGGCACCAAGATCCACCAATGCCTCTACTGTTCCTACACCAGTACCTTGAAGTGCAATTTGCTTCGTCATGAGAGGACTCACACAGGAGAGAAACCCTTCCCATGTCCACACTGTAATTTTCGTTGTTCACAGAACTCGGATCTGAAGAAGCACATTCGCATTCATACAGGAGAGAAGCCCTTTGCATGTTCACTCTGTCCATATAGGTCATCCCGGAAAGAGAGTCTGAGGAGCCACATGCGAACACACACTACAACTGTGCGCAATTGATGACAGAACTCTGATATCAGGTTTTGTAATATAGGATAACAGGCATTATCAGTTTTCCAATTTGTATGTCTTTTTTTTTACTCAAAAGTTTTATTTTCTATTGCATAAAGCTACTGAAATGTACATATAATGGATCCTGTATATTGGAGGTATTTATATTTTAAGTTTGGTTATATTAATCATAGACTTAAAGATTGCCAATGAATGAAAATTCATATAGATCTAAAAGATACCAAGAAGTGAGATGAATACCAGTTCAGTAGTTTACAAATCTACATTAAAGATGGAACTTGCACAACAAACTTCACCAAACCAAATTTTGGAGAAAAGTATTATCATCCAATGATATTGAGTAAAAGCTGCCATGATATGAAATGCTTTCTGATTCAAAAATTAATTTTATTTTTGTAATCTCTATTTATTTGCAGCAGCTTTACTTTAATTTATTAATTTAGTGAAATCTATCATTCACTAATTTTATTAGAAAGGCAATAAAGTAAGTGAATGTAACTGTATTTATAAAAATAGTTTAAACAAGGAAGTTTATATGAGCTTCCTGCCAAATAGTGACACCAGTTCAGATGAGACATGTCAATGTTGCTTATATCACCAATTATGTTTTATGTAACAAGCTCAAGTCACCCAACTTCTGTTTCATATAATCTTGTCTTTCAAAATCTTTTGCGCAGAATTATTCAAATGAATTTATATTATTCTACAACATATGATTATTGATGAAAAATATGCTTATAGTAAACAACTGAGCATAGAGTAAAATAATTATTGAACCAGTAATATAGTTATTAACACCTGAAGTAAACCTATTCACTAGCAAAAAAAGTCACTGAGTGTGGGAATTAAGCTTACTCCCCATTTCCTTCCCTCTCCCTCTCCTGTTCCCATTTCCTTCTCTTCCTCTCCTGTCCACATTTCCTTCCCTCTCCTCCTCCTGTCCCAATTTCCTTCCCTTTCCCTCTCCCTCTCCTGTTCCAATTTCCATCCCTTTCCCTCTCCTGTCCCAATTTTCTTCCCTTTCCCTCTCCTTCCCAATTTCCTTCGCTCTCCCTCTCCTTCTCAATTTCCTTCCCTCTCCCTCTCCTGTCCTAATTTTCTTCCCTTTCCCTCTCCTGTCCCAATTTCCTCCCCTCTCCCTCTCCTTCCCAGTTTCCTTCCCTTTACCTCTCCTGCCAGCTGCTTAAGCATATCTCAGATTTCATTCACCTTTAATTTGGCACAATATCTTCAAAGTTGCCAATGAAACATTAAAACATTTGCAAACATCTCCCAGTATCTGTTGATGTAATGTTGACAAATGTCCCATGGTACCAAGAGGTTAAAATATGTGAATATGAAGTTCGTGAAAAATTATATGCAAGCTTCTGAGAAGCAGATAGAGTGAAATACAACTGAATGTTTTATACTTATTGATTTAAGTTATAATTTAGTTATACACTTGCTAAAAGGCCCACCCACTTCTTCAGTTGAAAAAAAGGAAGCTAGTGTTTTTCTAAGAGTGTGCAGTGAAGTTAATTCTTTATATCATTAATTTTTTCCAAAGACTGAAGTGACCAGACCTTTGTGTATATCTTATGTTATTTAAAAAGATATCTTATCAGTTTTTTTATGCTCATACTTTTTCCAGGATGTCATTCAGTGATAGTGATTCGAGAGGATAGCAAATGAAACATTTGTATCAACAGCTATAAATAAATCTCACATTTTTCTTAAGCCTTTAATTCTCCTGCAAATGATGTGCAATAAAAAACTCATCTTTACTGAAGAGTTGCATGTTGATGGTAGTTTTGACTACTACAGTAGAGAGAGATGTATTAGCAAGGTAACAAATAAGACAGATAGCACCACTGTTTTGATGAAAATCATAGTTGGCAATCTGCTGCAAGTATTAACCCAACAGTACAGTCTGCGAAAAATCCCACGTCCGCACGTCTTTGACGAGTGTAAACTTGTGGAGGACAAGTAAAATGTTTACCTCGCTTGTCTGTATGGACGAGTAAAAATTTCCAGTAGATTTTTCCCTAAAATTAATGAAATCTAGCAAGGTCTAGTTCCTTTCAGTTCTATGATTATGGAGGCTGCCATATTTGTTTATATCAGTTTCATATATTAGTTTCATATAACAGTTGATAAATTTCTTTATAATATATATTTATAAATATTTCGGACAAGTGGTATTCAGAAGAGGACGAGTGGACAGTCAGGTGTACTTGTCCTCCTGGACAAGTGAAAAAAAAAAAGATTTTTCGCAGCCTGCAGTAATGGGCATCTCACTGCTAAGATGATCAGTACATAGGCAGTAGTCTGCCATCTCATATGCGAGACATTTGTGATCTTGGGTAATGTTCTCACATTCAGTTCCCAGAATAGGGTGTTTTTCATTTGGGGGTATCTGTCATAGATGGCAATGGGGTTTCTTTATTTTTCACTTTTTGGCATATTTGTATACCATTGTCATTACTGAACATTTTTATTAGTAAGATATAATGAAATATAATATAATATATTTCACAGATTGACAAGAGTGAAAATAGGGTTGAGCTAAATGATGTCTTGAGGAGGCACTGTGAGATACCAGATATAGTAAGATAATTGTTTGTATAACTTACTCAGTGTTGTTATAATTACAAGAAAGAAACCTAAAATCCCATGCTTTTAATCATATCAAAGCATTCTGTACCATAAACAGTCATCAGAATATTGTAAGAAAACGATTAAATTTTTGGGTTGAACAGGCTACTAGGAAGGCCTGCTACCTTTCCTTTTTAAATAACTTGTGTATCAGAAAAAGGTTATACCATTTTGGGGAATTGCAATATAATTTAAACTACAGCTTAAAAGTGAATCTAGTTCTAGTCTAATTGTCTTATAAACAATTATAAGACTACAAAGAAAAGAATGGATTTATAAAACATTTAATTTCAAAACTAACACTTCTATTGAAAAATATATTTAATGACAAAAGATGTGGATATACATTAAGCTGGTAAAAGAAAAGAAAAGTCCTCTTCAAGATTTATAATATATTAAAACATTTGAAATAGGAGAGGTCAGCTCCCCAATCCCTTGTATGTTGTTGTCGTGGGGAGCCTTAGGAGACTGAGGCCCAATATAGGGGATCATCCCTACCTTGGACTTTAGCCCTTGCCTCAACTAATTTTGCAAAGTCTTCTCTTCTCCCCATTTCCTTTTCCTTCTCTTCTTCATCTCCTTCTGTCCACTTGTCCAAATCGTCAACTCATTTCTACCCTTTTCAGCACAATATTTTACCATAGTCAGGGCCTGATTATCCTATAGGCTAGTATAGGCTGCAGCCTAGGGCCCCTCAAGCTTGGGGGCCCCAAGCTTGAGGGGCTTGGTTATAAAAAATCTGTTTTTTTATATTTTTATTGACAAACAAAAGATAGCTATGCTAGTTTATTTAAAGATTTTGTAATAAGTTTACTTAAAGCTATGTAAATGTTGCTAAAATATATCATGAGTAAAAAATATTCAAGACGGGTGCAGCCGAGTTAGACGGTGGCTTCGTCTGAGGGGCCCCATAATTTCAATAGCCAAGGGGCCCCAAAAGGTCATAATCCAGCCCTGACCATAGTGTTTTATGACCTTTGATGTCTAGCACATTTATTTGTTTTAACCATTAACCATTAAATGGAAGAAGTCAGCTAAACTGGAAATGCTATCTTGTACTGTGATCAAAGATTACTTTTTTATAAATCTTTGTCAAGGATTCTTCTAAAGTTTGAGAACAAATTGAGAGCCGTCTCACAACGTCTGTTCCGATGGAATGGAGTTGACCAGGAGATTGATAGTTTTACAGTATGTAATTTATTTGTGTGAAGACATTGGGCATACAGGAAGGTCTTAAAGTGGGGGGTAATAATCCGTGGCTGTAATATTTGAGAAACGTGGTTGGTGTGATGTGGACATAGTGGCGTAGCGTGCTAGCATATCTGCCTATTCACTTCCTGGATATTCCAACATGAATGTTGCGGCACAACCGTAAGGCAGCATTAAGTTCAGTAGAAGAAAAAGGAGCATTCTAGGAATCGGCAGAGGATAAGGTGAAGATAATGGCATTCCCTGATGGTCATAATAGAAGAGAAGTATGGAAAAAGGTGAGAACCACTACTGACCTAGCTGAAATAGTCACTTATCAACTTGGAGAGGATCAGAGATGACAGTACCTCGACTATGGAGGAGTGAGCCTGGAGGGGGGTAGTGTGATAATTTATGGATCCGGCGTCAAACAGTTGAGAAAGATGTAGATGTAACTGAGGAAACATAATTTCGCCAGCTATTTGTTTTACTGCTCTAGAGTGTACTATGGAGACAGGTGGATGCTCTTTTGAAGAATATAAGGGCTGATAGTTGATTAGGGGTGCCTCTTTTGTAGCAGTAACTGTTCCAGACTGCATGTTGTAAGTGAAGCACATTAGTGCAATCGGAATTCTACCATAGAACACATTTGGAGCTATAAGGTCTTGAGGTTCGAGGAATGGCTGTATAGGCAGCTCTTAGGACTGTAGTTGTGAAACATTGTATCATACCTGCAATGGACAAGGAGGATGGAAGGGTAGGAATAGCAGAGAGGGGAATATGATTAGGAGGATGGATATCAGCAGTCGCTTTGAGTGTGGAGGGAACGGTAGTTGTAGAATTTGAGGGAAGATGAGGGGTTTCAGTGTCAGTTTGGGATTCGAGTAGAATTTTGAATATCTTCAAGAGTTTCTGTAAAGGAGTTGGTTGGGGAGCTTTGCGAGACAAAGGTTTTCTTATAAAGGGGGGAGGAGACTGGTGTCTGAGGAGAGGCAAAGGTAGGTGGAGGTGAGTCTGTGGTAGGAGAAGAAGGGGTGCAATGTTTAGTCTGCTGCGGGAGGGAGAGGGGGAAGGTGTTGGGGCTACAGTAGAGATTGGAGTATCTGGATTTAGAATAGCAAAAGAATATGACTGGGGAAGGTAGGAAGTAGAAGTGGGGAAGTAAGATGTAGGAGGGATAGGTATAGGGGAGGCTGTAGGAACATCTTGGGAAGTTGGGGGAGGGGTAGAGCGAGCGACATTACCCGAGTAGGGAGTAAGAGGAAAACCTCGTCGACATGCTTTCTGTCTGGCTTCACGTAGAGTGAGTCCAAGTCTGAATCTGAGAGTTGCCACCTCAGACTCAAATTTATAGGTGGGGCAGCCCCTATAAAATACATTATGGGAGCCAACACAGTTGGAACATACGCGTGACTGTGCAGAGCAGTTTGAACAAGTATGACCAGGTTGAGAACATAGAGGGCATCTGGCTGTGGAACAGCAGTGTTTGGCAGGATGTCCTAAATGCCAACCATTTTGGCATTACTGGGGAGGAGGTTGATATGGTAGGACAGGGAGGGATTCTCCACCATGTCTAGGTCATGTCTAGGAAAATTATTTTGGCAGTGCTAGTGGGGTTCATACAATGACCCCTGGGAAGAAGGGAGTAGCACTGTACTGACATCACATCATAGTTCAACAGGCAAGTAAGTCTCCACAATCTGACCAGAGAAGTGTTGTCAGAGTAGGGAGCTGTGGGAGGGATCACAAAATATCAGTCCCATTTGGATGAGCTAAATAGACTATTTAAGATATTTGTATAGATGGGAGTAGTAGAAGGATGGGAGCGTGTGGAAGAGGGAGTGCTGTTGAGGGTGGTAGTATTATGGAGAGGTGGACAATAAGGTTGTAAAGTAGTAATGAGGGAGGATGGGTAGTTGATGAAGAAGATTGTGGGAGAAGAGGTGATGAAGTTGAGCATGTTGGGAGAGTAGGAATGTCTCCTGAAGACTGAGTGTTGACTTGGGTGGATAATGTACTAGTGGGCATTGAGGAGGGGGTGGTAGTTGCAGTGTTCAGAGCTGTGGTCAAAGGAGAGCCTGGGGTCAGGGAATTAGGAGAGTTTGAATTAGTGAGGCTATTTGATGAAGGGGCAAGCCTCATTGACCCTAATAAGGGTATAACATCTTCATTATAGTATGGTAAGCCTGGAATATGTTGGGGAGAGAAACAGTCCACCCCTCAGGGACCCCTTCAGGGGTAAGGATTAGACAGAGGAATACCGTGCCCATGGCTCCCTCAGGCCATTCAGGACTGGCATAAAGTCAGCCTTTAATCTTTTCAGCACGGTTCTCACACCATAGGAAGTGGATAGCAGAAGGGGTTGGGGAAGGGACGGAAATGAAAAGGCAAGTGGGGAAAAAAGGCCATGCAAAATCAGTTGAGTCAAGGACTGAGTGCCAAGGCAGGGAAGTTCCCCAGCATTGGATCCCAGTCTTCACCTCCTAAGCTCCCCCATGACAAAGGGGCAGAGCAGGCGATATTACTGGAGTAGGGAGTAAGAGAAACACCTCATTGACATGCTTCCTGTCTAGCTTCACGCAGTGTGAGAACAAGTCTGAATCTGAGAGTTGCCCACCTCAGACTCAAACTTGTAGGTGGGGCAGCCCTTATAAAATACATTATGGGGGTCACCACAGTTGACACACGTGCGAGACTGTGCAGAGCAATTTGACCAGTTATGACCAGGTTGGGCATATAGAGGGCATCAGGCTGTGGAACAGCAGTGTTTGACAGGATGTCCTAATTGCCAACAGTTTTGACATTGACGGGGAGAAGGTTGATATGGCTGGACACCAATGTAAACATTAAAGGGAAGGTCATGTCTATGGAAAGCAATGTTGGTGACCTCTTGGAGGAATGGAGTATCACTGCCTTTCATCCTTTCAGTACAGCTCTCACACATTAGGAAGTGGACAGTAGAAGGGGTTGGAGAAGGGATCTAAACAAAAAAGCAGGAAGGGAAAAAGACGTAAAATTTGTTGAGTCAAGGGCTGAGGTCCAAGGCACAGGAGATCCCCAGCATTGAGTCCTAGTCCTCACCTCCTATGCCTGCCCACGACAACAATGGGCAAGGGATTAACCCATGCCATGCCCACTGTGAGTCAACTCGTTTGATTGTTTTTACACATATATGGCTACACTTGTACTAAGTAACCAATGAGCCAGTTACGAGTACCGCCTGTCTCGCCCGTTCACTCTTTTCATCGATTTACGAAAATATTATAGTTTTCCTAATTTGCTGTTAAAAATAACACCATCTATATTTATAGCACTATTAAGAATATGTTTTTTCCTGCCAATTCAAGGAAAGGTGAAATCAGGACTAGCAGAGCCATCTATGGACAAAGATATTTCACAAAAATATAAAAAATGAGTACAGCATTTTCCCCATTTTTTGTTCATTTTCATCAGCGGCAATAGGTTAAGGGGGTCAATTGTTGTTAAATTCCTCTCCTAATTTATTGACTTTTGTCAAATATTCTGTATGCTCGGTTATGTGATCATCTGTTTGTTTCTATCATCAGTCCTATGCATAGTAATTTTAACTGATGCCTAATAGCAGTGGCCTCACCAATAAACCTGTTTCATTATATCTGGAACTTTAACTCCTACACAGAACTATTAATGCCTGGAAAGTAAGAGCTATCAACACTGAAACTTCATGCAACTACTAATCATAACTTCAGTAAATTTTCCATTGGTTTTCTCAATCACACTTGCATACATTGAAGCAGTAACATGGTCATTCACCCAAAACTAATCATACCACATTTTATCACGATGTCTTTGTGTACATTCATCATTACAAAAGGCATTAAAGAAAGAGCAACTGAAGTCTTCATATTTTATATTTATCTGGTTTACACAGACTTGAAGTTCTTATAAAAAATTACTTTTTTGAACTTTTATACTTCTCTTCATGAACCTATACTCTTTAGATACAACTTCTTTATCTGGAAATGAAATGCTGTTAAAGCATGTTTGTAATAAAAATGTATGGCAACTATAGGCACCCTTATTATAAATATGTAATTACAGAATTCAAAATTTCTCTTTTTTTTTCAGGAAAAGACTGTAGAAAAAAATCAAGAATGAATTACTGAAATGAATGACAGAAGAAAAGATAGAATTAGAGATTGATGAATGTCTTGCTCCCTATGAAGCAAGGACAGATGAATTGAGATTTCTGCTCTCTTTATTATCACTCTAGAGTTTGTTTGCTTTAAAACTCCTAGCTGCACTCAACTAATGCCAAAAGTACCTGAACCATCTAACCTTTTTCAGGGCCAAAATCTGGCTCAAAGATAAGCCAAAGCATATCTTCCTGAAACGTAGCATGGATTAATCTAATGACCCGGAGTCTTTCCAAACAAAGCCAAACCTTATCCTATCTTACTGGGAAAAGTGATGCATCATACTGTCATCAAATCCTGCGTCAGATCTTCTGTCGACAACATAAAAAGGGAAGTGACACAGAATTAAGTAATGTAGGCCAATTATATACTTATTACTATATCTTCACCAGCAGCTCTTCCAGACCAAAAATATCATTTAATAAGACAATGTCAGAAAATATTGTTTATGACTATATACAAGATGATTCATAAAAAATAAAATAAAATTGTCATATTCTGTACCCTTACTACAATAAACGCTTACACTAACATAGCTACAATATCACCAGTTAAAAAACACATAAAATTTGACTGAATTTTATCTGAAATAAATGAGGTAAACCAAGAGAAAACTGATAGTACATTCAAGAATATACAGAAAACATATAAAACTATGAATTCTTGGCAACTGTAAACAGATGTTTTAACACTATTCTGGAAGTATGGCACTTGCATTATTCAAATCATGGTATAAATATTTACAGTAAATATTCAGTATTACAATTACTTCAAAGTGAGATTATTGCAGTGAAGAGTCCACCAATTACTTCTGCCTAATAGCAGACCTACTCAATTATTGATCAACTTTGTCCACAGACTGAACAATATTTTTTCCCTCATACTGCATTATACTAACCCAGGAAATCCAATATAAAAATGAAAGGGAAAATATGGAGGGGTACCATGCATCAGGTACTTTCTAAGTGAGAAGTGATCAGATTCTGCTGACACACATTTTAACATGTATCTGTCTTTTAAAAATATTTAAAAATCAATATCTTGCCACTGCAGACCACCAAACTAGTACATTCCAGCCCCTATGATCATATCTTTATTCAAAAAGTATCATCTTGCATGAGTTTTGATAGAGAAGATCAAGTTACTGTTAAATCTTACTACCACTGACCCAGATTTAAAGGTGCATAGTGCCCTACAGTGCCCTGACTTTGAAATGTACTAAACATGTACCCCATTGTTTCCCCTGCACCAGGCTGTTCTCGGTTATCATTTGTTGGGATGACAAAATGTGGTATAGTTTCCTCCATGCCATTGTGGGCTGGCTGAGGAGGACCTTGAGGTAAATGCATGGTTGTTGTGTGGGTAGGTTCTCTGTTGAACTTTCTTTTACGCACTATTCCAGGCATGGGGCTTCTGAGGTTATTGGCCCCACTGCTGCCTTCCCCAGCCGTTGCTGATGTTATAGGTGCATTTGCTTTTACATAACCTTCTAGATTTTCCATGTGGCCATGCTGTTTTATGTGTGCTAACACAAGGGGCTTCCGCATAAATCCAGCACCACATAAAGTACACTCATAGGGCTTTTTGTCTGAGTGTGTGAACATGTGAGCCCTACAGTTATTGGATGAATTGAAGGCTTTTCCACACACGTCACATTTAAATGGCTTTTCTCCTGTATGTATTCTCATATGCTTTTTATAATGCTGCTGATACACAAAACCAGCTTCACAAAACTCACATTTATAAGGACGTTCCCCTGTGTGAATGCTCATGGTGTGTCCATTCAACAAACGTTTCCACTTAAAAGCTTTGTCACACAGTTCACACTTGTATCTTCTCTCCTGCAAATGGGTCACTCTCTTATGCGAGGAAAGATTGCTTTTCTGACGGAAACATGTTCCACAAATGTCACACTCAAAAGGTTTTTCTCCTGTATGAGTTCTTTCATGGTCTTCCGCTTTACTTTTGGTTGTGAACACTTTGCTGCACTGACGACACTTGAACTGCTTGATATGAGTTATGTCAAATGCATGACAGCTTGCTTTTCTTTTGATATTCTTTTTCTTGCCTTTGTGTAACTTTTTGTGCTTCACCAAACTGTCAGCTGTCAGGAAACTTTTCTCACAAATGTCACACTTAAGGGAGTCACTGGTTAAGCCATGTGTTTCAATGTGTCTGGCAAGTATAGTCCTGGACGAAAATTCTTTGTCACACATAGTACAGCTTAGAGGGGTATTTTCATCATCTGTTTCCTCTGCCTCCTCGTGGTCCTGGTCTGTCTTTTCCTCCTCGTCAAAGTCTCCGTGCTCTTCCTTGAGCTCAACCTCTGGTGCCAAACTCTCATCCACCCCCTTCACAACCAGCTTCCCTGATTTCACCGATAAGTTGCCAGCTTTCCGAGGTCTACCTACTTTGGGTGGCCGCCCTCTTCTACCAGGTCCCTTGGGTTTTGGTCCTTTGGCTGGAAGATAGGAGTTAATAATCTTAATGCACAGAGAAAAGTAGCAACATAGAAGTGTGTGTTTATATATACACACACATGTGTGTGTGTGTATATATAAAATAATAACTACATGCTATTGAACTCACAGAATCTTACAACAAATGCAACTCAAAGATTTCTCCTTTCCTAGCTGAAGTTCTATCATAAGGTTTGCCCAAATAACATTTCAAAACTTGCTTGCTATGACTGAAGAGGATCCTGATGTCATAAAGGTGTATTTTTAATATTCAACCCAATCTACACTATCATGATGACAATCATCCTCTTGTCTCTATTCATACCTGGTGAAGTGTTTTTCACAATCTTTTTCTCTTTTGGAGGAGGAGGAGGTTGTCTGGATGGTTCTTCTAATACTGCTTTCCCTACCAGTCCTTTCTTCACTAAGGCCAAAGTCATTGTGTACTTACTTGATACCACCTGAAATGGTACAGATGAAAGTCAAATTATGAGGACAAATAAACTTTTCGTTATTTTAATTCACTTCATTCTTCCACACTGTAGCCCATGCTTTAATCAACATAATTTTCTGCATATTTTCCCTTGTGATTGTAAAAGGACAACCACTTAATGACACACAACTAATACAGTTTATTAGTTAAAGCAATAAAATGTAATGTTCACTTTAGTTTTGTTTTGTATATACACATAGATGGCTCCACAAGTGCTCAATCCCCATGGAGTTAATTGGTAAACTCATGACCTCACCTAACTTCCCTTTTCCATGAGTTTTCATTTTTTTTTCTTTAATATAATCCATATTAAAGCCATTATTGTCATTATTGATATAATAATTATTATAATGTAATTAACAATCCTAATAGAATGAAAAAAAAAAATCCAAAAATCAAGGAAAAGGGTAAACAGGTGAAATAGGTAGAACTCGTAACAGACTTCTTGGTGACAATGCACTTGTGGAGCCATCTATGAGTAAACACACTGAATAAAAAAAAAATCACACTGCATATGACATGCACATGCTATAGCCTATAGCACTGAGTTAAAACCAAAATTGTAATTTCAGTCACAAATTGCCTTAACTGGTAATTCAAAATTCAATACCACATTACCACTCCTGTACCTGTTTCATGTTCACCAACTGTCCCTCCAGGGCATCAATGTCATCCAAGAGTTTAAAACACTTCTTACAAACAATGCTTGAATGGATGGAAGCAGCATTGAGTTCCTGGTTCACAATAGAGCCTAAAACATTGTGGATCTGCATCTTCCCAAAAGAGGTTGTAACCTATGATGAAAAATGGTTCTTTTAGCAGGTGGACATGAAGCATTTGCTCTCGATCTCAATGAGAGCAATTACCTAATAAAGATTACAAGATATTTAGTCAGGTCTCAAATTTAGGTAGATTATTTAACATAAATTAAAATTTTCATATATGTAAGTGTATATTTATAAAGATAGGTAAGTCAATAAATTGATACAAATATATATAAACATTTTTTTAGAGTTTCTATATCAGTAAAACAAAATGAATACCTTATCAGAAAAGACTTCCATTCCTCCTTTTGCAAACATTCCTAGATGAACATTGCACACCAGACAGTGGGGAGTTGCAGAACCTCCAGTTCTTGGTATTTTGTGAGTTTGTTGTGGTTGTTGTAGCTGAGGTTGCTGTAACTGCTGTGGCATTGGTTGTGGTTGCTGCTGCTGTTGCTGAACCTGAGCAGGCTGTACATGGGGAGGTGGTGGTGGTTGTTGATGAGGTTGCTGTTGCTGCTGTGGTTGTTGTGGATGGTGCTGTGGGTGCTGAGTTTGTAACTGATGTTGCTGTTGAATCTGCTGCTGTTGTATCTGCTGCATCTGTTGTTGCAAGCCAAAGGGCTGCCATTTTTGCAGGATCTGCTGCCGACTATTCCACTCCATCTGTAAACACACAAGGTTGTTCAGAAACATTGAAATTGATATCACATTTCTATCTAAATCATTATGAAAAAATATATGTTTGATACCTGAACAAAGAGATTATTACAACTTAAAAAAATGACAATCAAAAATCCAAAAGATTCTATATATAACTATACATATAAACATACATATAACTAAAATTATTCCTTAACTAATTTTATCCTAACTCGTATATGAAATTACATCTGCTCATAATTTTGGCAACCTTAGTCTTGATAAACAATATCCTTTATTCATCCAAGCTCTTATAAACATAATAACATTATATAAGTCTTCTATCAGTTTCTATAAAAATAAGAAAAATATGAGGTATCTTATAAAGTTAAACTTCCTTGATCCTGATTTTCTAAAGCAAATACTAAGTATAGATATTCCTTTTAAAAGAGCAAATAAAAATGTACAAACATAATAGAAATCAAAAACAAATAACAATCAATCATGACAACTGGTATGACATTTTAATATATTTCATACTGATAACAGTATAAAATTATGTGTTCAAATGAAACAAAATTTCAACAACAGGGTACCACAATACAATAAAAATGAATACACTGAAAGTATATGTGTTCCACTGTGTATTTTTGCAAATGAAACAAATTTGCATTTTGCAACAATTCAAAAAGTACACTTAAATTACACTTAAAAAGTATGATCAGATCTGAATCAGCTATGCATTTCCCAGTGACTCTATATTCTTTCTTTTTTTATTAAGGCAAATATTCACTTGGAAGATTAGTAATTAGTGGCTGAAAGGAACATCCCTAAATAGCACTGTCATATTCCAATTAAATACCATAACCTGTCAGCTGTATTATCATCCTAACTTATTAATTACCAAATAATAAATGCCATCGACCTGTCATTACCAAATGATTATCACCACCAACTTGTCAAATGCATCTTCACCTCACTAAAGAAAACAGTGTAACTAACAAAATATTGTATAGGCCTACCTTATACTCACACACCAGGATACTTGTATAAAATAATGAAGCATTAATACAAAACTATTTCGATGGGGATAAGAACAACGGGACTAAAAAAAAAAAAAAAAAAAAAAAAGTAAAGACCCGTGTCCTTCTCAGATCCCACTCGCCTGAACAAAAGTAATCCCCAGCCTTGACCTTCTCCGCTTCCCAATCCTTTATTTTTCCCCAGACCTTCCCCCGGCACTCTGCAACTCGCCCAGGGCCAACAAGAGGCTTGCAAGGGGTGCAGAGAGCAGGTGTCACGCCCCCACAGCATCCGAGAGACGTCCCTCATCTCGACGCCTCGACATCCCTCCTCCTCCTCCTTCAGACTCATCTCCGAAACTCTTCAACTCTTACGACCTTATTTCGAGACGACTCTAAGACTTGTCTCG